CACACACACCCACCACACACACAACACACAACAGACACACACACCCACACACACACACACACACACACACACACACACACACACACACACACACACACACATACACACACACACACACACACACACACACACACACACACACACACACACCACACACACACAACAACACACATACACACACACACAACACACACACACCACAACACCACACACACACACACACACACACACACACACACACACACACACAACACACACACACACACACACAACACACACAAACACACACACAACACACACACACACACACACACACACACACACACACACACACACACACACACACAACACACACACACACACACACACACACACACAACACACACACACACACACACACACACCACACACACACACACACACACCACACACACACACACACACACACACACACACACACACACACACACACCACACACACACACACACACACACACACACACACACACACACACACACACACACCACACACACACACACACACACACACACACACACACACACACACACACACACACACACACACACACACACACACACACACACACACACACACACACACACACACACACACACACACACACACACACAACACACACACACACACACACACACACACACACACACACACACACACACACACACACACCACACACACACACACACACACACACACACACACACACACACACCACACACACACACACACAACACACACAACACACACACACACACACAACATACACACACACACACACACACACACACACACACACACACACACACACACACTTACACGAAGACCATGGAAAAAAAAAACATTTAAAAAGTAGCTTAAATGAGATTCTCTTTTCCCTTTTCAAGAAGAATGGATACTGAGAGAGAGAGAGAGAGAGAGAGAGAGAGAGAGAGAGAGAGAGAGAGAGAGAGAGAGAGAGAGAGAGAGAGAGAGAGAGAGAGAGAGAGAGAGAGAGAAGAGAAGAAAAAAACGAGTAAAATAAGAAAGAGAGAGAGAGAGAGAAGAAAGAAAAAAAAGAAAGAGAAAAAAGGGAAATCTAAGGAAAGAAAAGTAAAAAAAAAGGGAATTGAAGGAAAGAAAAAGACGATGAAATAAAAAAGAAAGAAAAAGAAAAGGAACTCGAAGGAAAGAAAAGTAAAAAGAAGAGGGAATTACAGAAAAAGAAAAAAATGAGGAAATTGAAAAAAAAGGAAAAAAAAAGGAAATCGTAAGAAAAGAAGGTAAAAAGAAAATGAATAAAAATTAAAAGAAGAGGAAACTGAAGAAAATGAAGTAAAAAGGAAGAGGAAACTGAAGTAAAAGAAGCAAAAAGAAGAGGATAGTGAATTATAAGAAGTAAAAAAAAGAGAAAATTGAAGAAAGAAAAGTAAATTCTATGAAGTAGATACATGCCAGAAGCTGCAATCAGAACAGGTGGATATCATATTAAAAATCCTGGGGTCAAAATATCAAGGTAATTAGGATTTTCTTATGAATAGAGTCGCAAAATAATAATAATAATAATAATAATAATAATAATAATAATAATAATAATAAGTAAAAAAAAATAATAAAATAATAATAAAATAGAAATAAGTAAATAAATAAATAAATAAATAAATAACTAGAAGGAAAAGAAGAAAAAATATAATTAGGTGCGTTGCCAAGTAACATTAAAAAATAGGTCTTTCGCTTTGTTTGGAAAGAAACTTCGAAAAATAATAATATTTACAGTTTAAAAACACGTCAACAGCACATTAACGCAGAGAGTTATTTGTATTTAGAAATCTACTTTTACATTTTCTCAGTTTTAAAAGAAAGGCAACGATTTCTTTAAAAAGTAAAATATAACTAAAATAACGTTTGTTTTTCTATGGTATTTTACGACTCGAGGTAATAACTCTTACCGAACTCTTCATGAATCGTAATCTATCAAACCATAATTTGAATAAGATTGATTTAATTACACTATCCCTCGTTATTACAAACCTTTCACTTAGCGAACGCACACTCTGTACAAACACTTACCTGCCTCATACCATTATCGACCCACTATTATGTTAATTGCCTGGTATGACTACCGGTACCTGAGGTTACCTGAACTACTGCTACCGGATACTCTTACCTTGATTACCCACTTGGTTACCTGGTTGTTGAAGGTTATTCTGTAAGGATGAGGTGGAGAAAGCGAAGGGGGGGGGGATGGGTGGGGATGGGGGGAGGGGAGTCAAGTAGAGACTTACTTTCTTTTGTAATTCTTATTTCCATCATTATCATCACTATCGTCGTCGTCACAGGAATTAGGACTATCATTAGTGCTGTTATTACTTATTAACTTACTTGTGGTGTTACTTAGAAGTGTTTTTGTCGTTGCATCTGTCAAGAGGTCCTGACGTGGATGGTATAGGATAATAGGTAATTTTTTTCTTAAGCAAACGCGCACACGAACACAGACACTTACATGGACACACACACACGCACGCACGCACGCACACACACACACAAACACGCACGCACGCACACACAAACGCGCACGCACGCACACACACACACATTCACACACACGCACGTATGCACACCCACGTACAGATAAGAAATATTTCAAATATTATTTCAAATGCTATCTATTGGAAGAATAGATTATACCAAACAAAGAGATCTTCTCATATTTAGATTTCCATCTTCATTGTCATTTCTATGATAATTTCTTAGTCTTTCAATATTCAGTTATCTCATCATTGTGAAATAGAAATATCGTGGACTATGATCTTTTTTTTTTTTTTTTTTTTTTTTTTTCGTCGGACGGGGGTATATAACACCGCTGTTTTAAAACCGGAAGTGACGAAACAATGCCTTGGCTTAAACGGCCGGTTTGTTAAGATTGCGCAAGGCTCGACCCAAAGCATATACACAAAAATAAATACATATCTATTAGTCTAGACATACATATCTACAGGATAGATAGATAGATAGAGCAATATCTGTCGGACAGATAGACAGATATGCCTTCATTTCTGTGTATATGCATGTCTGTATATATGAATATTCACAGGGTGGGACATTTTAACAAACTAGCCAATACTCTTGGCCCTATCACACTAGCACTTTTCCGTCAATTTTTTTACAATTTTATTTAACATAAATACAAACATTCTCGAATATAGCTCTTGATTTGACTTTGCTTAGCTGAAAAAGTTGATGGAAAGATTTTCAGACGGAAACGATCATTATCATCTGACTGCAAAATCGACAATTCGTTAAAAAATGGGGAAAAAAATCAGAAAATTGGCCAAAAATTTCTGGAAAAAGTACTAGTGTGACAGCACCTTAAAGGCCCTATCACACTAGCACTTTTTCCGTCAATTTTTGCGTTTCCGTCTGAATTTGAGGCTTTCGGCAAGTATCGTTTGCAAACGGAACGCCTCCCAGACCAAGACGGTTTTACGACCGTTTCCGTCTGACTAATTTCCGTCTTGATCTTGTGCTATTCATAAATTAGATAGGATGAGTGAATGTAAACATAAGCTAATATCTTAAAGCATTCGTATATACAATATACATCATCATATTTCTCTAAAATAACGTAATATGTATGAAAATATTCGTGCGATTCCCGGGACCTCACTCCGATAGCGCCATGTTTGTTTACATGTCAGTCGATTTTCACGCGGAAAGCGAAAAAATGAAGGAAACAGTGATAGTCTGATAGGACCTTTATCCAGGCTAGTCTCGGTTGTTCACTGCACGGTTGTTCAGCTGTTCACCGGAAGTCGTTTCAGCGGAGTGTAAGTGTAAGTCCTAATCACTTCATGGGAAAGGGAATCGCATAACTCTCTACTGGCTGATGATGGTTGGTCACTCGGGCGGGAAATAACTAGTGTCGTCTGGTTTCTAAGTCGATTTCAAACTCGGTGTCTGTTTTTGATTAATTTTTCTTTGGATATCGATCTGTCTGTCTGTCTCTCTGTCTCTGTCTCTGTCTCTGTCTGGCTGTCTCTCTCTCTCTGTCTCCGTCTCTGTCTGTCTGTCTGTCTGTCTCATTCCCTCCCACCCCCTCCCTCTCCTTACCTCTCTCGCTCTTTCCCTCCCTCCCCCCTCTCTCACACACACACTCTCACTCTCCCTCTCTATCTCTCTCTCCCTATTTCCCTCACCCCTCCCCTCTCTCCTTACCTCTCTCGCTCTTTCCCCCCTCTCTCTCTCTCCCTCTCTATCCTTCTCCCCCCTCCTCTATCTCTCTCTCACCCCCTCTCCTTCTCCCTCCTTCCCTCCCTCCCTCCCCCCTCTCCTCCTTCCCTCCATTCCTCCCTCTCTCCCTCCCTTAAGGATTTATTCTGACATCACTATTAATCAAGAACTAAATCCATGACGCAATGATTCCTCACCAAATAAATGCCAAATCGACCATTGTTGTGGTTTTAGACGGGAGACTTGGCAACGCAGCGGACGGAGACTGTGGAGGATGTGAACCAAGGCGAGAAGATGGAGATGCAGAGAAAGTTACGAGTATCCTGAGGTTATAATCCTTGAGTTAAGAGAGAGAAGAGAAGGAGGAAGGAGGAGGAAGGAAGGAGGAGGGAAGGAAGGGAGGGAAAGGAGGGGTTAGAGGGAAGAAGAGGGAGGGAGGAATGGAGAAAGGAAGTGGAGGATACGAACCAAGGCGGGAATTGAATTGAGAGAGAGAGAGACGGAAGAGGAGGAGGGGAAGGAAGAAAAGAGAGAGAGAGAGAGAGAGAGAGAGAGAGAGAGAGAGAGAGAGAGAGAGAGAGAGAGAGAGAGGAGAGAGAGAGAGAGAGAGAGAGAAAGAGAGAGCGAGAGAGAGAGAGGAAGTGTGAGGATGTG